GCGGGGGGGGGGGGGGGGAAGTGTTCATCTTTCTCTGCAAGCAGGAATTCCCCTGAGGCTCTGCTTCTGCAAATCGTTTGAAGACTGGCGAATTGCTTGCTTTCAGATGTCATTGAAGGGGTTTGAAGTAACCCCTTAGGCATGGGACCGCTTAGATGAGTTATGGGATGTGCTGGGTGGATTGAGCTAGAGGGGGCTTGTTGCTAAACTGTTGAATAAAATGAGCTTTTTGGCCAGCCTGGTGCAGTGATCCTTTTATTATGGAAAGGGGAGGGGAACTTTTGGAGCTTCTGTGCTGAGAAAAGAGCCTAATCTCAAGAGGTTGTGAGGGATGCTCCCTCACTGGTTGTGTACCTTGGGCTGAGTGGTGCTGGGTGGAGATGCCTCCTGTGTTCCTTCTCTGTAGGACCAATGCCGTGAATTCAAGGATAGGTGCATTTATCTGGTTGGCATAGTAAGAAGTATTTCAGGGCAAGCAGAAGCCAAAGGGTAACAAAAGAGCATCTTTAAACCACACAGACTCAGCATTTTAGATCTAGCCAGCCATCTTAGTTCAGTAGGGAAGATCTTTCTTATTAGAGAGTGGAAAGAAACATTGCTGCTGCTTTTGAGATCTGTCTTTTGCTTTGTCGGTAAAGGGAGAGGCATGTCTGATTTGAAAAAGCTTGCTTTGCTGTTGAGTGAGATAAGCACATTTGGTGGGCATTGTCTTGAGTTTTCAACCCACAGAGAGGGAAGAAACATGGTAGACCTGACACATGCAGAGCCGTAACTAGAAAGCCAGAGGCTGCTGCTGCTCTTCTGGCTGGAAGAACACTTTCTGTGTCCTGAGAAAAAGATCAACACAGTGTATAACGAGTTTTGTGTCAGACATACCCTTAGGCACTTATAAAACTCTGTCAGAAAGAGAATTTTTGTGATCTTACCAATTTTGTTGTTTAGGCAACTTTGCATTTTTGTCTGCTTCTTTTTCAGCAGAGATGTCAGCTGCTGAGACAGCAGGTGAAGTTTTTCTGGTTTAGGTACAACTAGAATATTTTGAAGGAAGTGGGTCTATCTGGGGACTCTTGAGGGACAGAAAAGGACTAGAAGTGAATGGAGATTTGTAGGAAGGTGGTAGAATAGATTGAATATGAATGAGGATCAGGGGAGAATAAAATTCTAGGAAGGAGAGGAGAGGGAAACAGGTGTGCAGCAAAACAGGAATGTGAAGGTTTCCACAGGTGGAGTTGTGAAAAAGATCCTGGTGGTTTAAAAAGCCAATTAGTGGCTTGATGGTTAAGTAGTGTAAGTCCTGAAACAAGGCAGTGCTTTAGTTATGCAAGTGGATTAGAATGGTTGAGAACAGTATGGCCTTGGGAAGGCAGACTCTAGTAGAAATAGATACGTGTGTGTGTTTATTTTTTTTTTTTAACAGTTAGGTAAGAGTGTTTTAATGCAGGAGGATGCAGGATATGCCTTTACAGCATCAGGCTTTTGATGCTTTTCTATATGCAGCAGGACTGACTAATGAGATGCTGGCAGAAAGTTTTAGAACTTGAGGGTTACAAAGTGTGTGTGCCCTCCAGGGACTGAAGCTTCAAGGCAGGAATCTCCTCAAGGCAGGAGCAGAGCAGGGTGAAGATGCCAGTTACTGGAGCACTGGTTGTGTCTGCCTATAAATGCTTTAACATCATAGCTGGGGATGTGGAGGGTGAGAGAAACTGCAAAAGACCAATTAGCAACTGTGTGTGAAACAAGACATAGGGAGGAGTTTCAAGTGGAAGCTGCTGCCATGTTTAGAGAAATATCCATGACTTTCTCAGAAAGTGCTGCTTCTCTCAGTTTGTGTATAGTTAAAAGCTGCTTTGCTCTTCTCCTCTGTCCTGCGTTTGTTTGGCTGCTGCACCCACTGTAGAGGAACTCTTACTGTAAAAAAGATAAACCTATTAAAGCTGCCTTGTCAACACCAAGGTATTGCTCCCTGGTGGTGGTGATGTATTCCAGGTAGGGTCTGTGTGTCACCATGCATGTGGATTATGGACTTCTGGTGCTGCCTCTACTCTGGACCACCAGCACCCTGGAGATTTATCTCTGGAAGACTTAACTGATACTGCAGAGGCCTTTAGGAACATGCTTCTGGTGTGCCATACAAAACCCACAGCTGTTGATTTATCCCTGGCTGTGAGGGGAGAAGTGTGGGGTTTTAACGCTGTTTCTTCTAGCCCATTCCAATCCAACCTTCAGAGCAGCTAACTTTGAAACTTGGAGTCCCGGAGATGCACCTGCTGTGCAACCCATCTGCAGTAGTTCAAGTGTTAGGCCTGCTGACATGCTTCTTGAAAAGGACCGGTATGGTCAAAGTTGTGCTGAGCCTCACGTTACACTGCAGCACATCTTTACTTCTCTTCAGCACAGGCAAAGCACCATAACTGTAATGCTCTGTATTATCCTAAAGCTAGTACTTCCATTCTGGCGCTGGTTTTGCTTTCCCTAGAGAAAGTAACCTTTGAATATTCCGGGAGAACAACTGTCAGGTTTCATTGTAAACATTTTCTTGGGCGTAATTGACTTAGGTTATAATATACTAAGAAAAGATAAAGGCTTTATCATTTGAGTGTTTAGGTTCAACTTTCACTTTTCTCTCAGCTGAGGAAATTATTTGGTTTTGATATGTAAGCTGAAAAACCTGGACATAGTCGCAAGCTGCGATGCGTTTGCCTTTGAGTGCAAGTCTCAGTGAAATCGATGAAGATGGTAAATTTGTTTTTCCAGTTGTATTCTTTTAGTCCTCCACTTCTTTGTCTTTCCCAACAAGCTAGACTTGTTACAAATGTTATTGCCAGTAGCCCAAAGCAGAAATGAGTCTTGCTGTGATGTAGAAATGTGATGTCTTTGAGCTAGCGTAATTTTAACCTTTGGGCTTTCCCACTTTGAATCTCTTTGTTTGCATTTACTTTGCAAATACTTAAATGTTATCTTTAAGTTGGCTGTTTGTGCTTTGATGGTGGCTA